TCCTACAGTCCTACCTCTCTTGAGCTCCTTCTTTCCCCTTATCCCCTAGGTTCCTTGTATACCCTTCCCTCCCCCCTCCCTTAAACTACCCCAGTTTTTATCCATATCTCCCTTATTAAGGCCTGTTTCCTTCTGTTCTTCTCTTTCAGGTTCTTTCTTTTCCTTTACCTCCCTGTTTCCTTTCCATTATCCTGGTTCCTGTAGTTATGTCTGGATACATAGGTATATCTCATTTTTTAAAAGTTACATGCCATTTATTCTTATGACAAGTTATAAAATATGCTTATAGTGGAGGAGAATCCTAGAATTGGCTGAAACTTTTAGTTAGTTAGAAAAAGTAAAGGATGAATGATTATTTCACTTCACCAAGAGGTTGCTGAGCACATTTATCAAAAGATGTGGAATTTGCTGGGAACAGCTCCAGAGCACAGTGTGATGCTGGGTAAGCATGCTACAGCCGAGACAGATGTAGAGCACCACCACCAAGCTCTGTTTTGTTAGACCAAATAGACTTCTCAAGAATGAGTGGTTTTGTTCATGATATATTTTTTCCAACAATAATTGTTTGTGTAAGACAGTGTAGTTGAAAGAAAATGTGCTTTAGAGGTATACAGTCTTCATCTTTATTTCAGCACTGCCATGTTCTTGATGACTTGTAGTTATTCTTTAAATTTGAGCTTTTTTCACTTCATCTGTAAAATAAATTACCTTAATGAAGTAATACAGCTTGGTCATATTGACCCTGTTACAGTGGAAGCCCTTGAAAGGCTGCATTATTCACTCTTTTTTTGGGGGGGGGTGTCTTTTTGAGTCAGGGTCTCCCTGTAGCCCCAGCTTCCCTAGAACTCACTATGTAGACCAGGCTGGCCTTGAACTCACAGAGCTCCACCTGCCTCTGCCTCCTGAGTGCTGAGATTAAGGCATGCACCACTGCGCCCAGCTTATTCACTCATTTTTTAGTGTTCATGTTGTCTCAAGTTGTAATGTTGTGATCCTTTTCCTCCATTATTAATAAGAGACAATTATTCAAAATTTCCTATGGCTGAGCTATGTAGGAATAGAGTATATTCTCTGCTTGTGTGTTAAATATGCCTATAAGCCAGTATAAGATACATTTACAGTAATGAAGGAGCTAGTCATCTGTCAGTGCTAGATAATGACCAAAAATGTTAACCAGTCAGGCATGGTGACTTATGCCTTTAATGCCAGCACTTGGGAGGCAGAGGCAGGCGAATCTCTGTGAGTTTGAGGCTAGCCTGATCTACATAGTGAGTTCCAGGCCAGCTGGGGCTACAGGGAAACCCTTTCTCAAAAACCCAAAAGCTTAGCCAAATTTTTCTTTATTTTCCCTGCCTAATACTTTTCTATCCCTCTTTGAATTTAGGAGTATGTATCCTGTTTGGAAATCTTTTCTGGAGGGAACAATGCAGGTAGCCCAGTCACGGATCAATATATGTGAAAACTATAAAAACTTCATTTCAGAGCCTGCAAGGACAGTAAGAAGCTTAAAAGAACAGCAACTAAAAAGGGTATCGTTTCTATTTCTGTTCTTTTCTCACATGTATTTTAATATTTACAATCTGTAAGATTATGCTAAATCACATTTAAAACTGAGATTTCCAAAAATATGGTCGCAAATGTTCCTGGATGACATTTTACCAGGATTTCTCAACATGTTCCCTTTAACGAAAATGTTTTATTAGCTGATTAGGTGAGTGTGATTTGAATCTGTAGAAATAGCACAGTAAATAGTTCTTAGAAATACTATTTATGCTGGGCATGGTAGTCTATACCTTTAACCCCAAGACTTAGGCAAAGGCAAGTGGATCTCTGAATTCAAGACTACCCAGGTCTACATAGCAAGTTCCAGGTCAGCCAGGGCTGCATAGTGAGACCCTGTCTTTAAAAAAAGAAGAGAATGGGACTGGGGAGTTGGCTCAGCAATTAAGAGCACTAGCTGCTCTTGGAGAGGACCTGGGTTCAATTCCCAGTACCCACATGGTGGCTAACAACCATCCGTAACTCCAGTTCCAAGGGATCTGACACCAGCTTCTGACCTCCATAGGCATTGCACAACACGGGTGCACCTACCTACATGCAGGCAATACTCTCATACACATAAATAAAAAATAATAAATAAAATATTTTTAAAAGAAAGAAGGAATGCTACTTATATAGCTGAAATAAATAGAACTATATAGTTTTACAGTATTGATTTGATGTATGTTAAAATGGTTACATTCTTAATCACACTGATTGTATTAATCATTCTCAATTATAGCTTGAGCCATTTGGGAAACTTGGAAAGTTGACACATTTTGACCAGTTACTTCAGTGACTTTAATTTTTAAAAGCCTAGTGTACTCTAAAGTTTTAAGTATAGCTGGGACTGGTGATACATTCCTGTAATCCGAACTGTTCAGGAGCCCAAGGCAGAAGCAAGTTTGAGGCCTGCCTAGGCTCCGAAGTCAGTTCAAGACTGGCCAGCCTAGCAAATTAGTAAAAGACTTCATCTCAAAACAAAACAAAGTTCAATTATGTAGCACACAAATAAACTTTTTTTAAAGGATTTGTTTCTTTGATTCAATTAAAAGAGAAATGTCATAATTTAATGTCATTTTTATGAAAAATTTACTATCAAGGTAGATGTTTAATCTATGGCTGCTATGTGTCAGAGCTGTTTTGCTACTCTTAACTGGGTTGTAAATGTTACCTGCTGAGGTAGTTACTATTATTTTAACCTATATGTTACAAATGAGTAGCTAAGATCAGTGGAGTTAAATAAATTGCAAGTTATATGAGTAACAACTGGAAACACTGAGTTGTAGATTGAGGTTGTCCTACCCCAGAGCCAAGTTCTTGACCCACTGTGGGAAGTTAGGTTTATTTCCCCTAGGGTGTCAAGGATTCTCACATCCTGTTTCCATTCTGGCTACTTTAATCTCTCCTTACCCCTGAATAAAACTGCGTTAGAGCATAGTGGGGGAATAAGTAGATATTTAAATTGTATCTCTCTTTGGAAATTAAGTTACCATGATGTCTATAAGTAAAGTACTTTAATAGAAATTATTAATACTTCAGAAAAAATAATTATTTAAGGAAACAATATTGCAGAAATCATACAATGTTTTGATCTTGATTGCCATTTAGATTTTCAGAAAAATTTTAAAAGCTTTTGAAAACCTTGATCTTCTGTTTGCCCAAGATGATTTCCATAGCACAAAATCAATGTTAAATATTTATATGTGTGCATATAAAATTTTGCTCAGTTTAGAACACTCACCTAATATCATTTGGCTTAAATACATTTGTATAAGAATGTCTGTGGCTAGTCTTTGCCAAAGATGATCTCTTTCAAAGGAAACCTGGTAAATAAACTTATGTAACCACTAACTTGATTTCTAATTAGAAGAAAATGTGCATAGAGGTGTGTGTGTGTGTGTGTGAGTGAGGGGGGAGGGAAAGAAAAGAGAGGGAAATGGGAGAGGGAAGGAGAATATGATTACGTAAGTGGAAGAGAGACAGGTAGAAGCAGAGCATTTGTACTAATGTCTTAAACAGGAGGAAATACTGTGTTTCCAATTGCTAGTGTATTTGGCAAATCTAACTAATTACTGGAAAGTTCCATCTTTTTCAATATTACAATGTTTTGAAAGAATATAACTTTCTGATGGTTTTCTCTTCCATTGAATGGGATAGTCTCAGATTCAAATTTAACCAACATTTCTATGCAAGGAATATTTGGTGAAATTTGACAGTTCCCTTATATATGAATTATCTTGTTTTATATTATAGTTGATAATGTGTTTATTTTCCATGTAGGAAATTGGGATTACTAGTGGCTGACGTGTACTTCAAACTGGCTAAGCCAAGAAGAGAATGTGTTAATTTATTGAACCAAAAATTCTAGGACTTCAGGCATGGACAGATCCAGGGTTTCAGATGTCTATATTAGAATTCACATTTTTTTAAAAAAAAAATCTATCTGCTCTGCTTTTCCCAGTGACTTTTTTTTTTATTACTTATTATTGGCTGTTTGTGCACGCCTTTAATCCCAGCACTTGGGAGTCAGAGGCAGGTGGATCTCTGTAAGTTTGAGGCCAGCCAGATTTACATTGCAAGTTCCAGGCCACTTGGGGCTACAGGGAGACCCTGTCCCAAAAAGACCCAAAAAAATTTTTTTATTATTATTTGGTATGTATATGATGTATGTGTGAGAGTATAGGTATGCATGTATCGAGGTTCATGTGTGGAGGTTAGAGGTCAACTTTCAGCAGTCTGTTCTTCTACCATGGGGATCCACCTCAGGTAGTCAGGCCTATGCAGCAAGCGCTTTTGCCTGCTGAGCCATCTTGCTGGCCCCAATGGCTGCATCTGCCTCCCCTGAACTCAGCTCTCCCCCTTCACCCTCTTTTCCACCTCTTCTCACTAGGTTATAGAAACAACTTAAAATTTTCCTCTTTCCCAAAAGTTTCAGTAAACCAACCAGAACTGCTTTCCATATTGACTGCATCATTTTTGCATTCTCACCAAAAGTATCCAGACTTCAGTTTCTCCATAAACTTGCCAATAGGTTTATTATTTTTTAAAAATTATGTATTTTTCATTTCTAGAATTTTTGACCAACTTAAGAAAAAAAATAGATCCCTGACGACTTTATATCCATGCTCAGATGCCAAGGAGCTCAGAAAATAACCGACTGTGACTAGTAATAATCAGATATATAGAGATTAGAAATGCATGTACAAACATCTTAATGTCAATTGCATTAAAAATGAAGTTTTCTGCATGAAATTCTGTATTTTAATAATGAAATGGAGATCTTGTTTAAAGGTTAAAACCTCATTTAATTTTATGTCTTATAGGTTTTATACTGAGTACAATATTTTATAACTGTATCAATTTAACTATAAACCTAAAACTTTACAACCAACTTTGAAGGAGATGCCTCTTAGCTATGGAAATT